CGTTCACCGTCCACGAGATTCAGGTTGAACAATTATCTCGTCGATTGCTGCCAAAAGAAAACGGACAGAGCTCCGTCGAGTTTTTTTCTTGAAAATGAAACGCTGAGATTTCTCGTGTTCTACAAGTCTTGAAAGAAGGTCTCGTTAAAAACGCGAAATGGCTCGCGCGGTGTCCGATTTCTATCCGCGCACTGTCGTTGACATGTTCATCACGCTGGGGGGCAGTCGTCGTGCAAAAGCGTCGACTGACGTACAATAAGCGAAGTGCGGAAATAAACTTGAACGATTCTTTACGAAAGCGCGCGCGTGTACGCGAATCGCGTACCGCGCGTATGCAAATCCATCGACTGTCAATGGGCAAGAGAATCAGGCCGTCGGCATATTTTTCGCAAAAACAAATTCGTCCCCCGGAATTTCTCGCGCAATCGTGCGCGATAAGAAAAACGAGTAGCGCCGATTGCATAAAGACCTCCGCGTGGCGTACGGCGCTTAATAATAGCAAGAAAGAGCGGCGCGAGAGGGAAAGCGATAAACGCGCGTAATAGCCCGGAAAGGCGTCATTCTTCGAGGGAGATAAACGAGCGTAGAATTCTACCTAATGAGGAAGCAAAACGGGACACGTACACGCGCCGATGAAATTGGCGAGACTGCCGATCGCTCGGGCCGCGTGCGTTGCCGCAAGATTAATCGCACATCGGGGAAAACTCATGATCGATATAATTGGGTATAGGCGTTTCTTTCGCCCGAATGTCACTCTCGGTTGCCCCCTGTTTTTCACTTAACGAGACGCGATTGAGACGACGACTATGAAAAGCCTGTTGACATGCAGAATGCAGGCTTTAATGAAAGAATTGAATATTCAGTAAAAGCTGGTAGCCGCACGGCTTTGATTCAATCATTTTTCTTGAATAACCATGGGATTATTCATCGAATATGTTAATTTGCTGCGAGTAGTGAATCACAATGCCAATCAAACCAATCAATTTCAACAACGTTCATACAGCTCCGGATATTTTATTTAAATATGATCCAAGTCAATTATCGTTTACGTATCGTTATAAAAATACGTGGTGCAGATTCCCGTTGACCTTTATTAAACACAATAAATCCAACACTTTATTGACAAGTTTTTCTCTGTCTTGGAAAAATAAGCCAATACAGAGTAGTTTCTCGCGATAATTCATAAAGTACCACGCGAGATGAAGAAAAGCAGGAGTTTACATTCGATTAGATATTTATTCGGGGTCACGATCAGTCGTGAAAAAAAAAACTTATTGAATGTTAATGTATCTAAGATCTCTCGCATAGTTTCGCAAAAAAAAAAAACAATGTTGGAACTTAATCATCTCATAGAACGTGGTAGAGCTTCGTCGATATCGAAGCGAAGCATCTAGTGTGTGTGGTTGCATAAAATTCTCCTCTCCAGTCGCCCGCATCCTTTAACAAGGCTTAGTCGCGCGGCTTATCTAGCAGCTTACATAGTACGAGAGCGAGCGCAGGCGGAAGCGTGTGTTCGTTTGCAGAGGTCAATGTTACCGAGAGCGAAAAAAAAGGAGAGAGAGACTGCAGCTCACGACTGTCCGTTCGCGTTTGGCGCGCCGCTTGGCTTCATGAATGTGCGACGACGACGACGGCGGCGGCAGCGGCGACTGCGGCCGGCGAACCGGTCAATTAAATGGCGCACGCTTCACACTCGCCAGCGCGTGTACATGTGTGCGGGTGACGAGCCCAAGGAATGCCTTTGCTGTGGGGTGGATGCACTCGTTCGTTCGTTGCGTCATTCGCACAATTGACCCAAACTTTTCTTTTTCTTCTGTTTTTTCATTTTTGTTTCGCGTGCCGAGAATTTGCGATGCCTATTGGGCGTTCGAATGAGCGTTCGCGTTAAAGATTGCTTCTTTAACAAAATCTAATACCGGTATATAATACTCCACCAGGTTTGAGAAAAAAACTCATTGAGACGCGTGAATATTCATTCTCTCGAGATTGAAAGTGCCAATGTTGAAGAAATCAGCATAGAGTATCCGCTAAGCGCGCTGTACTTGCATTGATATGATCCGAATACGTATACAATATACAAACAATCAAGAAATAATGCATAGAAGAACAGAAAGGGATACTCAACGCGGCGCGACAATCTGACGTTATGTTTAGCAAAGGCAGCCAGGAATAGATCGAAATAAACATATAAGTCAACGCGCGCGCGAGTGCAAGATCCTAGATAAGTGCGCTCTATTGTAAATACAAAACGACGCACGTACGATGAACTCTCCTCTGTGTGTGTGTGTGTGCGTGCGTGCAAAAGCGATGCAAGCTCATTGAATTTTATGAGGCCTCCGCCGCTATACGTCTACGAAACGCTTTTGCTCTCGCAGAGTGCTCTTGCTTTTTATCTCAATCGTGCGCCTATGAAATCGTTGACGTGGGATCGATCGACTATACGTAATAGATGTGCCTCGTCTTGCTCAAAGATTTCAGCTCAGTCGACAAAAAGACGAGTGTTTTACCTTGGCGTGTACAGTTCTTATCGTGGACGAGAGTAATTTGCAGGAAATGGTAAGAGGCACGATCGTAAGTATTTTTATACGTGATCATTCAGTTTCACTATAGGGATCTTATTTACATCTATTTTTATTGTGGATTGAATACATTACAATCAATAGCTTACGAACCCAACGAATAATTATCTTCCTTGATGCGGACTAATTTTACGCGTGAAAAACGAATGAAACAGCAAATGCCTACACGTCAATGAAACTTCCACCTATCATTAAAAATAGTAAATATGATATTTGAAAAATTCAAACGCATTGCAAAGTACCAACTGAAAGGCTAAGAGCATAACCAACCACGAAAACTAAGAGTTTTTTTTCTCATTTCCCTCGTTCGTTTTCAGCGCAGAGACGGTAATTCGATTAATCGAGGCTTGGCACAGATATGGAAATTTCGCGGAGGGAACCGCGCACCGGAGAGCACAATCAAGGCATACGTTTTGCCCGTCGCGTTGGTCGACTACAAGCTCGCGCGTATAAATCAATTTGCGCCTTTCGCCCGGGTAGACCACGAACGGCAAACTTTCATCAATCTTGTTGCCGCTGCTTTCGTAAGGGAACGCGTACGACGATTGGCAGTGCCATGGGAAAACACACGTTCGTTCGATTACAATGGCATTTTTCTTTGTGTTGCTTGTGCAAGCCCAACAACAATAAAAACAACATCGACAACAACGGAATCCTTTTAGTAATGGAAAGCATTCACTCGAGCTAGTTATTGATAGATTATTAAACGCTGACGGTAATGCGATAAATTATACGCGTCGTTATAATTGCAAAAACGTTTGCGCAATGCGCGGACAAAAACAAAACTAGTATGGGTACTCGAAAGAAATACTTGATTCACGACTCGATTCGTAACTTCCGATGCCAATAAAATTCTTCTATTAACGTAGACTCCGCTTTTTTCCCAAGTATTAATCAAAAACTCACCTCGATTCATTGTAAAAAAAGAGCTCGTATAAAATCTTTACGATGATCCCACGTAACGATCATTTTTTTAAGCGGTACGCGTCAGAAGTGTTGTGTGTTCTGTAAGGGAAAGGATACGGAACTAGGTTAATTGCAATTATCTACCTCGTCTAATAAAGACGTTACGTACATTAAGATTTGTTATGGTAGCGTAATTTTATATATGGTCTTTATCACCTTGATACGTCAAATTATTTTAACGAAAACAATAGAATGATGGTTTTATTATGGAAATCCGTAGGATCTTTTAATTAATAAATAACAATACAAATTTTCATTTTTCAAATGTCATTATATCCATTTGATTCCTTAGTTGTTTTGAGCATTAGTCGTATGATGTTTTGTTGAAAAACAAAAAATTTTAATAGTCGACTGGAGGTATGCGAAGTGCGTTTGGACAGATAATTTTTTAACATATAAAGTGGCATTCATTAAAACACGTTGGCATTGATAAGACATGATTCTTTATGTAATCTTCATTGTTTAACAAATTTATTCGTAACGTTACATAAAGTCTGATCAATCGTCCGAACGAATATCTTGTGAGAAAATAAAAGTGGAGTATAAATTCGGATTAATGTTGACGCAAGCAACGAAGAAGGGAACTTCAACTCGAGTATTCTTATTTTACGATGAAGCAATCGCTATGAAAGTTTTATAATGCTCAGCACTTCCAAGAAGCACTGGAAGGCAGCAAAAGCAAAAGTAAATCACTTGGGTGAGTTAATTGCAGGTTAAAACCAACAAAATGAAGAACCTCTTTGCATGCCGCAGCTGAAAAAATGTAGCAATAATAATTGTTGGCGGCGCCTCGGGCCTGATATACTCATACGATTCGAGAGGTTCTTTTACAATGACTGTTTTCCTCTTGGTGCCAACGTCACCATGATGCATATAGGTTGCATAAGCGGAAGCGCACATATATTCAGATTGACGAGTACTCATGCACTTTCTCTGGCTTGACAATCTAACGGCAAGATTTAACCACGCTCTCTGAGCGACTTTTATGAAATCATGATTGTTTGATTTATCCTATTCTTTCGATTTAGTGTTATCGGAAGCTTACGAAGTTTTTGATTAATTTGAATGTAATGAAGCTTGAGAAAAAATATCTTGAAAATGATAATTGATATTGGCGGAATGAAAGAGCAATAGCGACTGCAAACAATATTTAAAGGCAGAACAAAGGACATTCCAGGTGATTTACACGTAACAGTTAACCCGATATGTGTCAAAATTGTATTCTGCAATAAGCTGCGTTAGCGAGCTAAATCGAATGTTATGAATGCCAAGTCGAAATACGTGCAAGATTACCATAATTTTCAGCGATTGAACACGTTTTCCCCGAAAGATCAGTGAAGTAGGTACGTTATAAAGCGTGGTTCATTTCAGAAAAAAGTCAACAGTTTGATTTTTGACGCGGTTTTCAAAAGAAGGCTAAGTACATTAAAAAGTGTTTTTTTGAACAATGTTAGCTGGTTCGCTCTTACTTGCTATGTTAGTCAACAGTGTATCGACAGAAGTGTATTGACGTTATTTGTAGAGCTCGAGAAAATATGAAGAACATATTAATTTTGGTATTACCTCTATTTCTGATTCAGTGCTACTCGCTGCCGATCTTGAAATATAAAAGAGATGTACATAATTTATCAAGCACTTTTTCAGTACACCTTTTCCATTGTAAGAACGAATGTCAAAATTTTAAATCAAATATTTTTTTTGTCGTAGATTGATGGGACGAGCTTTGAAATAGCTGTAGACGTTAGCAAACCTACAGCAGAAAACACATCCGAGATAATAGAAAACGCTGAGCAGAATAAAGAAGAGAATAATGCAAAACACATGCCTACTGTATACTATGGTTTAGAAAGAAGAAACGTATGTATTTGCATTGAACATTTTAGTAAATGCATTTAAAAAATACGAGTAATATAAATAAAGTATTGCAAATAGACTGATGCCACTGACATCGAAATATATTCAGATCAGAGCGACACCGCAACAGGGTACATGCCTGGAGTGATAGAAACCCCTGAGAAGTACGAAGAAAAACATAATGTAAAGCATACCTCTTTACATGTTGTGCAGTACAGCAAAATAAGAGACGTATGTATTTTTTCACTTCAGGCAGCCGTATTCGGGTTTCTACTTACAGAGTATACTCGGCCGACAAATGGGTTCCGCCCGGCGGACCAGCAACTCGCCGCACGCGTAGTGCGCGGCGTATCTTGAACGCGTAAAAAACGCTACTTGTAAATTGCGATAACAGCGGCTTCTAATTTGATAATCCAACATTGAATATGGTTAATCGATAGAGGAAATCTTGAAAAATAGATTGGTTTGTCAAGTTTTGAAAAATATGCAATAGTTAATAAGTTATAAACATGCAAAGATAGTGAAAAATGCTCAATTTTCGACCTTAAAAAATTCATAACTTTGTAAATATGCATTTTACGAAAAAACGACTAAGGACCTTTTCGTCTTAAAATAGTCCAAATTACCTAAAATAAAATTGTCCTGTTCGAAAAAAGCATTTTTTCATAATTTGTTTAATCAATTGCGTTTTAAACAAAACCTATCCATTTCCCGTAAAAATAACCGGCACCATTGGATTCAGCGGGTCAAAATACATGGGAATACATGGTTTTTACCCTTCGCCTCTTAAGTGCATACGGAATCATACCCAGCTCCTGGACTATATTATACTTAAAATATTATAAATTGTCTGTAGTTTCGTCGTATATGACTATTATCATTTACCGACCGATTGTACTCAATATCTGCAAACCCTTATACGGTCTTACCAGAAATAAAACATTTTTTAAGCATCAGCCGCACAACGAGCGACTTCACACCGGAGAGAAAAATGTTTGCATCGCGGGATATAAAAGCCGCGGAAGTTGCTAGGCTGGCTGCTTCGGCTCTTATACTATCCCGCGCTGAAAACATTTTCTCCTCCGATGTAATGGCACTTGATACACTGTTGACGCATAAATAATTAGTAATAATTACGTTTTTAATAAACTTAATATTTTAATAAATGATATTAGAAAAAAATTATATCATTAAAAATTTTGATATTTTAATTTGTATATTATAGGCTAATGAGGATAACAGCAAAACATCTTCAAAGGACAATGAGTCTACGGCAAATAACGCACCACCTGAACCCGCAAATGCTGATGATAAATCTGTTAACAGTCGTAAAACGATACGTAGTGCAATTGACAAACGCTATATAGACTCTGAAGAGGAAGAATACAGTTCAATATTTTCGGGGGAGCCAGTCGATGAAATAACTGATATACCTGTCAACAGTCGTGAAACGATAAGTAGACAAACTCACAAACCAAACAAAAACTCTGAAGAGAAATACATGACTTCACTCTTTTCGGTGGAGTCAACCAATGAACCAATTGTTACATCTGTTAGCAGTCATAAAATGAAACGTAGTCCAATTGGCAAACCAGACAAAGACCCTATATTGGAAAAAGTCCTTTCAACATCCACCGAGGAACCAATCCAAACAACAACTGTTACAACTGATAAATCAGTCGTTACGACGACTGAAACTACAACAAATAAATCACCAATAGTGACCGAAAATGTTAAAGAATTAGTTACCAAGACTTCTTCATCCGAAAGTTCAACTACTGAATCCTCGACGGAATCTCCAGATACGGAGGGACCGGATAAAGACCGTCTAACATCCACCGAGGCACCAATCCAAACAACAACTGTTACAACTGATAAACCAGTCGATACGACGACTGAAACTACAACAAATAAATCACCAATTGTGACCGAAAATGTTAACGAATTAGATACCCAGACTTCTTCATCCGAAAGTTCAACTACTGAATCCTCGACGGAATCTCCAGATACGGAGGGACCGGATAAAGACCGTCTAACATCCACCGAGGAACCAATCCAAACAACAACTGTTACAACTGATAAATCAGTCGTTACGACGACTGAAACTACAACAAATAAATCACCAATAGTGACCGAAAATGTTAAAGAATTAGTTACCAAGACTTCTTCATCCGAAAGTTCAACTACTGAATCCTCGACGGAATCTCCAGATACGGAGGGACCGGATAAAGACCGTCTAACATCCACCGAGGCACCAATCCAAACAACAACTGTTACAACTGATAAACCAGTCGATACGACGACTGAAACTACAACAAATAAATCACCAATTGTGACCGAAAATGTTAACGAATTAGATACCCAGACTTCTTCATCCGAAAGTTCAACTACTGAATCCTCGACGGAATCTCCAGATACGGAGGGACCGGATAAAGACCGTCTAACATCCACCGAGGAACCAATCCAAACAACAACTGTTACAACTGATAAATCAGTCGTTACGACGACTGAAACTACAACAAATAAATCACCAATTGTGACCGAAAATGTTAAAGAATTAGTTACCAAGACTTCTTCATCCGAAAGTTCAACTACTGAATCCTCGACGGAATCTCCAGATACGGAGGGACCGGATAAAGACCGTCTAACATCCACCGAGGCACCAATCCAAAGAACAACTGTTACAACTGATAAACCAGTCGATACGACGACTGAAACTACAACAAATAAATCACCAATTGTGACCGAAAATGTTAACGAATTAGATACCCAGACTTCTTCATCCGATAGTTCAACTACTAAATCCTCGACGGAATCTCCAGATACGGAGGGACCGGATAAAGACCGTCTAACATCCACCGAGGCACCAATCCAAAGAACAACTGTTACAACTGATAAACCAGTCGATACGACGACTGAAACTACAACAAATAAATCACCAATTGTGACCGAAAATGTTAACGAATTAGATACCCAGACTTCTTCATCCGATAGTTCAACTACTAAATCCTCGACGGAATCTCCAGATACGGAGGGACCGGATAAAGACCGTCTAACATCCACCGAGGCACCAATCCAAAGAACAACTGTTACAACTGATAAACCAGTCGATACGACGACTGAAACTACAACAAATAAATCACCAATTGTGACCGAAAATGTTAACGAATTAGATACCCAGACTTCTTCATCCGATAGTTCAACTACTAAATCCTCGACGGAATCTCCAGATACGGAGGGACCGGATAAAGACCGTCTAACATCCACCGAGGCACCAATCCAAAGAACAACTGTTACAACTGATAAATCAGTCGTTACGACGACTGAAACTACAACAAATAAATCACCAATTGTGACCGAAAATGCTCAACAGGAAAAAACAACAGATAAATGTGATGAACCTGTTGAATCTAATCAAGTAACTTCTGCCAATGATATTAACTGTCAATCAACTGTTGAGCCAGTAAGTGACACACAACAAGAGTCGTCAGCTGGCAGAGAAAAACATGGAATGTTTAATGTAAGTTGATACATGTTTTCACTAATCTAATCTTTTCATTTAAAAAGTAATGATATTCATTATAACTTATTTTAATGGTTCAGACATTTTTAAGCGTGGTATGCGGTGCCTCAAACGTGTTGGGTTCTTGGATGCGGTGTGTGGCATACAAGATAGCTGCTTATATCGGAATATGCAAGACCCAGCAATAAATTTCTTACTTATGATACATAGAAATTAATTTATTTCAAGTATTCCTATATTTGAATCAAATTTTTATTTTGTTTCAAAGCACATTATACAATGTACCTGATATTCATTTATTTTTTTTAGATAGGAATCGTAATCGAAATGCCTTCCTCTTTTTTATTTATTCGTAAACGCAAATATCGTGATAATGCTACGAAAGTTTTACAATTTTACTTAACATTACATCTGGGCCACAGCTATTTCCTCATCTAATAGTTAGCTAAGGTATGCTCGATCATTAGCATAAAAGAAAATAAAAAATAAACTCCTGAAGCGTGGAAAAAAACTCTCTATAAATACACTGAGAAAAGTGTAATATAATATAAAAATTACTATTTAATTAAGGAAAACGTGAACATATGCGATGTCTAGGTATTTTTACTATTTTAAATAGTAATTTCTGTGTTGTGTGAAAATGAGATGTTAGGATAAATTTTACTGTATAAAATAGCAAATTTTATTACGCAGAAAACAATTTTTACTACGACAGAAAAAGGCAGATCTTTATATTTACCTATTAAAGCCTAATTAAGTAATTAACCCATTAACGTCCAAAATGTCAAAATTTCTTGCACGTTTTCAAAGTGATTTTTTCCTATGTAATTGGCGTTGAAAAAATTCTTGAACCACATATTCTGATGTAAAATTGCATGCTCTTTCAGAATCCGTTGCCAGAATCATGATAAAACTCACAGAAAAAGAGATATGCTCGATTGAAACATAAAAAATACCTAAATTTTCGAAAAAAAAAATTTTTATTACATAGGAAAAAATCACTTTGAAAACGTGCAAGAAATTTTGACATTTTGGACGTTAATGGGTTAACCTAAGCTAAGACTTATGATTAGTACATAGTAGTTCAAGTAAATTCGCTGAGGGGGAGAAAGATTTTTTATTCGAAAAATTTCGGCAGTGACTAGGTCTTGAAACCACGACCCACGACTTTCGCTTTACCAGCCAGACACCCTACTGATTGAGCTATCACTGCTTCAATGTATAATTGTACTTTCTCAAATCCAACTGCAGACATTAAAAATAGCTCCGCAATGTAAGTACAATCTCGCATGAGTGGATAGAAAGGGACGGTACATGAAATAATTTAGCAGATACAAATCTATCACTATTACTTTGTCATCTTATTCTGTTCATCATATCAAGGTTTGTTTACTTTACACTATCGCTACAATCTAAACATCGTTATTTCATTAATTTGAATACGCGTCTTCACGCAGATCTAACGGATACGTGTTACACTTTCAATCGCATGAGCCTATAAATGAAATTTATTCTATACACTATTAATTTTCGCTATAACTCAACTTATTTCAATCGCATGAGTCCATCAATTAAATCCATTCTATACACTCTTAATTTTCGCTATAACTCAACTTTTATTTACACGACGCGAAGGACGCAACGTCGCTCAGTATCGTTGCTCCTTCACACACCATGCTGACATGGATACATACGGGATGATACTCCGTCCGACAGGCTCACTGCTCGAGTTCTTCAAAGCACTCCAGATCGGTTGACTCCAGTGAGACGTTCGCGAAGTAACTTGTGGTCTTGTTCGCAGAAAGAACGGCCTTCCGGGCAGAATGCCGCACTCGATACCGAGATTGTGTACCAAAAAGTGCTTCTCCGAGGAAGGGAAAATGGCACCAGAGGTAGAGAAGGTGCGTCCCCGCCGAGCGCCGATCGAATTGTGATAATCCGACCGAGCCGTCGGCAAGAGCGCGCAACCAACACCCCACAACGACAACCTCACGAGCATTACGCCCGACCGAACACACGGTTCACGAGCGCTACCAGCGGTCAGTGATGAGAATCCGATGAGGCTACAAAAAATTTCATTTTCATGAAGTCGTATCACATCTATATTGTTTATACAACTATGTTCAAGCTGCTCGCGGCACTGCCGACTATGAATCTTGGGCATAGTTGTATAAATGATATAGATGAGATACGACTTCATGAAAATGAAATTTTTTGTAGCCTCATCACGAGCGCTACCAGCGGTCAGTGATGAGAATCCGATGAGGCTACAAAAAATTTCATTTTCATGAAGTCGTATCACATCTATATTGTTTATACAACTATGTTCAAGCTGCTCGCGGCACTGCCGACTATGAATCTTGGGCATAGTTGTATAAATGATATAGATGAGATACGACTTCATGAAAATGAAATTTTTTGTAGCCTCATCGGATTCTCATCATTGCCAGCGGGATTGGTTGTTTTCGCGCTCGATTCAAAGGCACACGTTACAAATGTGTAAATTTGGAAAGACTGTAACTATTCTTTCAGTCAATGTTATTGGAAGTCTTTTTTATTTTTTATTAAATATTTAACGATTATTACTCGGACACGTTTTGCTGCTTGTGTTATAAAGATAAGCACTAGTTGCACACGAATATACAACTAAGTATATATAATTTTGTCCAGAAAATGCGACAAAATTATCAGCTGAAAATAAGAAAAAGTCATTTATTATCGTGCACTCACTTTATATTAATCATTCAATGTAATACTTGAATTATTGTCACTAGTTCATTACTGCAACGGTTTTGCCGGTAATGGCTTGCCGCTGTTAGGTTAGTAAACAACGTTAACAGTGACCTGACGCAACAGTGGCGTCGCCATTAGAAGTCTGAAAACTTCTAGCAGTAGATTTTACTATATAAAGTAGAAAAAATCATGACTTCTAGGCAGCGCTTTTAGGATATAATTTTTACTATTTTATATAGTAAAAACTTTCGATACAATAGTAAAAATTATTAAGTAAAGAGTAAAAATTATTATGTTGGTAGTAATAAGAACTATATAAAATAATACATTTTCTTGAATTAATTTTTACTATATAATATAATAATTTTTATTAATGTATTTATATTTTTTCCATGATATTTTGATAAAATTTATGAAATATGTAGCGATATCTGTTATATATGTCAGATGTCCACGTTTTCCTTAACTAAATAGTAATTTTATCAATACATATTGTAAATTATACTACATTTTTCTCAGTGTAATTTTCGTTCTTGTCCATCTACATTCACGCATACGCATCTCTCTCGCTAACAAGTGCCTTGCAATTTTCGAGCCGCTTTTTCTCATATCTATATATACTCGTAATTTCTTCGCACCCTCGAGCCTGTAAGTGTGTAAATCTCACGCGTATATATCCTTGGGCTTCCCTTTATCCGCTTATCCGTTTAATTTACAACACTGGTTGATGTTGTTCGATCGAGAAACACCGAAGATTCTCTCTCGGAAAGATTAAGTTTTTGATTGAGGCACAGCCTTCGACGTTTATGGGCGATATTTCAAACCGTCACATATCGACAATTTACCAAAACCACATGCGTTCAAGAGCGTATATACTGTCCGGGCTATTGAGGTGGCATATTATATCCCAGATTTGATGCGGGTGACGGCCTGAAATACCGCGACTCAGTTCTATGCGTACACAAAAACACTAATAATGCTTTACAACGTTCCTCTGCTGTTCCAAGTTTGCCTGCATAAACGTGTGCCTTGTCCATACATACAGTCGCAGTTTCATTCGTCTCTCTCCGATGCACAATGCGCGATAAAGCATCCGCGATCCATACTACAGGGAGTTAAATACCAGTGACACGAGTCCATTCGTTAATGCTGTGCTACAAGTGGCGCAGCGGCGCACCTTCGTACCACCACGTCAAACAGCTGAATTTATCTCAATTCTGTGCATAGGCGAAAGAGAAAGACAGAGAGAAAGCACTGTTATTGTAGATACTATGCACGTGGTACACTTGAGAATACTTGCGCAAGTGTGAGCTTTGAATTGAAGAATTTTTCGTCTATGCGACAAGAGCTCATACTTTTTCGTATACGCAGGAAATATAAGGGTGAGATAACATCAATAATGTTTGAAAATTTATTATGTGGATTGTGCTATGTTGAAATGGCAATGTTTAACAGGACTTGTACATATTCGATCAGTAGTTTAATTAACGATCGTAGAATTTTAATTTACGGTATTTCAAAAATTTCAATAAATTTGGCTATTATAAAAGTTTCATCAAATCTCGATTTAAAAATCCAGAAACACAAGCTTTGGATGTTAATTAAAATCTCAGAATAAGCCATTTGCATAATTAAAAGCAGCGGCTGGTAACAAAAGAAAACTTACTCAGGTCTGTGTAAGTTTCAGTTCGCATAAAATTTCGAACGAGAGACACGCGTTCGTGAAAAAAAAGAGGGAGCGTGCATTTGCAATCGTCGATGTAATCAACGAGATGCACAATCGTGAATGATGAAAGTGCATTGTGCGAGTCCTGTATTTTTCTGTCCATTGCGCGTCGGTCACGTGAAAATAAGCCGCAACAGCGACAGAGAAAGTGGCCTACTTTTGCCTTCTCTTCTATCCCTCGGAAGACGCGAGGGCAACAGATTAGGCTGAACCCGATTGGGCGGGCGCCACCACCAGAGATACGAACATGAGACAGAGATCTAAAATTCGTGAGTAACGTGATAACTCGCTTTCACGGTTGTTCAATGGTTTTAAAGAGGCTTTCTGTGGTTTTTATCTCCATATTTGATCAGGATTTCGACTTTGTTTTCATGCCCATAGAAATTGGACACCGTATGTGTATCGAAAAAAACAACTGATGTACGACTTAAATTTACTGAATTTAGAATTTAAGAATAAATATTTTTTTTCTCATTTTCGTGCAGACTCATCAATTTTTTTGTAATTTGACGCTACATTATCAAAGATTTAACGCGCATTAAAGTTTGATTTTCGGTTAAAAATACTCACTTTTTCTGCAACATGATTAATAATCATCACAATAGCGTTTTTCTAAAATCATTCACCAACACGAAAATCGCTTTAGGCAGTGTATATTATTAATCTTTCTATTTAGCGTCCATTTATCATGGACGATTGAAAATATAGAAGTCAAATGTTTCCAAATATCAACGTGAACGAAAACAAAAAAAATTTTCACCGAGGATATCGATCAAAAAGCATGACAGTAGAAATAAAAAAAAAACTAAGCTGACAGTAGAAAAGACTTGTTGTGTCCGAACGCCATGCCGGTAAAAAGTCAAAACTCTCGGACGTGTTGCACCTAATGACCCGCAGCTGACAAAACCTCTCCCTTTTCGACAAGGAAACCCGTAAGTGAAAAAAAAATCCAGGTGGGCAGATCGACCGAATGAATGACTCCGACTAATAATGAATCAACGTACCGTTAATGACTTTCGCCGGCGAGTTTTTCTTTGTTTTGCTGTGCTGCTGTTCCGCGATGCCATTTGTTATTCCGCGAGCGTTGCTCGGGCTTTGAGCTTCTCCTCCGCCGCTATCGTTGAATCAAGAGACCCTGCGGCCAAAGGCATTTCATTCAGTAGCCGCGAGACGAGTGTTTAATTCATGACGCATGAAGTTGATTCATTTGTTTTTGACAATTTATCAATTTTCAGTAGTACTAATTCGATATCCTAGATAAACATATATATTTTTTTAACTAGGTAGAGTTAGCATGCTCCGCGCCTGTCAACCGTGTGTATTATTTATAACTTTAATTTGTTTATTCAATAATTTAAGAACAAAGATTTATTTCGATTTGGATATTAAACGATTTTCTTGAATGAAAATAATATTAAAATATGTACACGTTAAATTTTTTACTAAAGTTGTAAAATATTTTTAATGCTTAAATAGATTATGACGTAGGAGGTATTTATCTAAATATGATGAAGTGATAAAATGTTTTTTCATGTGACAGAATTTCTATATTCAAATGGTCGTTTTTATATGCAAATTAGTTATTAAAATAATTATGAGTCGTTACGCTGTAACATACTTTGTAAACATTTTTTACAATAATCTTAAATTAAAGATAATTTATCAACCACACTACGATTATTAGTAGCATCATAATCATATAAATCCTTCTCAGTTTTCTTGTATCTTTTATTTTTCTACTGGATAACGCTTTTTTACTGAGCTGTGCTCGCCTCGAATTTATTTTTAAGCTCTTCGTATAGTCTTTACCTGTGTAATATTAAATACAACCTCTCTTTATTGAAAATTATAAATATAAATTATAACGAAAAAATTACAACCTATTGTGCGCGCATTAAATGCTTCACAACATCCGCCCATTTTTTTTAAAGAGGAAAAGAATGGAGAACAGTTTTTGTCGAGTAAACTTTCAGTAAATATCGATTCCTAAACTACACTAATTTAATGCGTGTATCATTCTGATCAATCTTTCGAGATAATGCGAAAAAAAGTGAATTTCAAGCAGCGTGGTCACGACATTGGACCATAAACGCGTTCGCGTCAAAGAAAAAAATTTGGTATAAAAACAATAACCTCGCTCGAATCGAAAGCGTAAAACAGGTAGAAATGAGCAAAACAAAAAACCTCAGAGAAGAGAGAAATGACACAAGCGAGAGTAGGAGGTGGTGTCACAGTTCGGCGCGCGGACAATCGACATCCGCTATTAGTGGCGCAAAGTGCTTGGCTGCTCGTCCACCAAAAAAGGCGGCACACAGCTTGGTGGGCGCGCATCATCATCGTATCGTAGTCATCATCATCATCATCGTTCGCTCAAGAGGGCCGCATTACGTCGGCTCCAATTTGCCGCGGCAATCAGGCTAGAAACGCTCGAGTCGCGCGCGCGTTTCCATTTGGCCTGCAGGAAGCGCGGCTCACGGCCGCCTAATTGGTGCGTGTGGTTTGTTTTTTTTCATTTCAGGTCGACAAGGGAATGCTTTTATGTTTCGGATTCTAATGAAATTGTTTAAAGCGTGATTAGAATCGAAAGCGTTGATAGATTAGTTTTGATAGATCAGTTGGTTTTAAATGAATTTGAATGTAAACGGATGTCCTTGTGATACGCTGAGAAAAATGTTCTTCTAAAATTTAAGAAGACACCCGATATATCATAAATTTTAATATATTTATATTAAAAATTGATAAATATTGATAAATTCTACAAAAAAAATATTCACGAAAAAATACAAACGCGTTTGAATAAAAAATGCTATATTTCATAGTAAAAATAACAAACTAGGAAAAATTACTACTCCACCATACTGCCATCTAGTTCTCACGATTTTTGCTCAGTAATATAGCAGAAAATACCCAGATTGAAATCTGAAGTGGTGTTGTCGGTTCCATCAAGTTAGGTTAGCTAACCGCTTGTACATACAAGGCTAACTAACCGCCAGTGGATGTTTAACTTATTTCTAATTCTTACGTCTCCTTCATGTTTTGAAATATATGTAATTTTTTCCTTCTTAATTACCGTAAAAATTCTTTACGAAATTTACTTGCAGATGGCGTCGAATTTTTTTTCTAACTCGCAAGCGTCAAAAATACTCGTAGATTACTATATAAGAGCTTCCCGTAAGCCAACGTAGTGAATCATGCCGACGAATTGCAATAACATGTGTGCGAATTATAATATAGGATAGGTAAAAAAGCTAGTTAGGTACATGTAAGAAAATGTGCAAGCGCAAAGAAATATGATTGTATGAATTTCTATACAGTGTTAATAAGAAATGTAAAATCTGATGAACGAGAACAACTTAGAATTTTATAATTTGCTACTTGAGAAAAAAATCTGGATTCATTCATGAACAAATTAAGATTAAAATGCTGTTCTCTTCTTCTTTCCTAATAAAAATTGTTTGATGTAAAATAAAAATTGCTTTTGTATATAATAAAATTTACAGGAACAAAATTTACTAATTAAAATAATAATTTTTGATATACATTTTTTAAAGGAAAGCTTGACACGAACGTTTTGAATAAAATTATTAACAAAACAGAATAGAGTGCTTGGTTGAGGACTTACTCATTCGATGCGGTGATTTTTAGTCGAAAATTTTTTAAGCGTACCTGAAACAAAAAAATCAACAAATTAGTACATTATTTCAGAAACAATTAAACTGTGTATCTGAGATAATAGATAAGAGACTGAAACTATGCCTTAGCACAGTTATGAAAATTACGATCGAAACATCAATGTCGGCGCAATAGCCTTCTATCTACGAGGCGAGAAAATGGGGATCTTTCCGCCATGAGGCGATGTTACTACGCCAAAACCTCAATATACGGGAATATTATACTTATATTTATCAACGCGCGCACACTTCGTAGATGTATAGGTATAATGTTCGCGTGTTTTGAGGTTTTAGCATACTAGCACTGTCTGACGGTGGAAAGATCCTTATACTTAACGGATAAAACTATATCGTTAAACCAGCAGAGGACAGGCTGATCGTGGTCACCAGTATGTTGTCGAATTGTCTCATTTCCCCTTGATGCGTTATAACACGACTGTAATGAAGTGCTGTGTTACAAGATGTAAAAATTCATCGAGATTTACTTTCCCGAAGAACGAAATGGTGAGAAAACAATGGCTCGAAGCCATAAGACGACCGGACTTCAAACCAAAACACAAGCACGAACTATGCGCAAATCACTTTAAACCTCGAAGATATACTGACTGAGAGTTACAGTTATGCTCATTAATTTATCAACTACTTTCATTTTTTATCGGTGTTATTTATTTTTATTTGACATGTTACAAAACAGAACGTGTTGTTTTGCATAGACACACAGTCCCGTTCATGTTTCTTTGGATTAAAGGTGTACTTAGGCGGGATAAGAGAATTATCGACTTTGATTCTTGTTACGAAAGTTGCCTGGAAAATATTATTGGCAATCTCCATTTTAAGTTATTTATATCAAATCGGAACATTACGAAGTCAATGGCATTGGAATAGGCGATGTTAAAGTTTATAAAAGGATCGACAATGTGAATCAATTCCAAGTAACCAAAATTATTGTCAAGACGGAAGCGCAATCACCAGATACGTCGAGCACCGAATGTAGTTACAAGCCCGAAGTCACCAACGAAGGTCAGTTTTACTACGAAAGTGATATGAGACTACTAAAACACGTCGCTCAAGGTACGGCGTCGAAGAATTCAGAAACGATTCACAAGGCCTGAAAGTATTCACTGGTTTGGGAAGTTACGAAAGGTTCATGCAAGTCTTTCGTGGCTTGGTGAAGGAGTGTACAAATAGGTGTACTGTGGCAATGGATCACGGGAAAGTTGTCGGTGTATAATAATTTTTCCTCAATCTATGAAAATTGAAAAAAAAAACTGTTCTGATTTAGATCTTAGTCGGCATTTTAATATTTCAATCGTAGCCGTTGGTAATATATTAATAACATGGGTTATTATTGGCAATGAAACACCCGAATATTGAAATAAGACCTGCTAAAGAAATATTTGAGTTCTACAGACTGAACCGGTTTAAGAAATACTACGCCCAAATACTTGTTGCCTCGGTCCCAGCTGATGACAAGAAATTGAAAGAATCTAGAAAAAAGACTCCATAGCCATTATTACTTTGCAAAGAGCGTAATGCACTTTTATACGATAAAGTGGATCTATTGTCTTTTACAAAAATAACTCTTGTGCTGTTTGAACCGCGTTGGTAAAATTACTGTTTACTGTTTGTTTCCCCCTCATTTGCTCTTCTTACATCTGATTTGCGAATTATTGCAAACAACACACGCTACTACGCTAATTTCACGATTTCTCGAGCAACTGTCAAATTTATCGTGAATGTCAAATATCGTATTTGCAATGAGTGTCGCGCTAGGAAACCGAGCTATAAGCAGGGCCGTTGCTTGCAGCACGAGTCAGTCTCCTGCACACGCGCGCACCAGAAAGAAAGCCATCGGCGTCGGTCGCAGCGGCAGTACTTTGCCAATCAAACTCGTCGTAACTGCGTGGCTCGCTTCTTCGTTGACGAGGCAGCGTGGAATTGAAGCTAAGTGAGGCTGATTTCGCGCGACTCTCTGCCATGCTCTCGTCGGACCTTTCAGCCGTCGCCTCATCTCTCGAAGGTGAACGCGTGGATCGCGCGCATCGACTTTGTTTCCAGTAAGTAAGTTTCCTTACGGCCAGTGACACTCGAGCGAAAGCAACAAGGCAATCGCTAATTTATAGGCGTGATTTGCATACGAACTGCACGGGGCCGAGCGTCGCACAATGCCGAATCAACGATCGCGCGATAAAAGTCGAAACGAAGGCTGCGCGCTAACCGGAGAGCCCTTGTAAAATTAGCAGCACCGCGGCGAAAATTAAACGGGAAAAGGTCCGGCGCGCTGATTTACGAGCCTCGAAGGAGGCGCGAAGTGTCTCTTGTTTTTTTTTTCTTCTCGATTTGCTTTTTGTCGCAGCGACGGCAGCTTAGAATGTCCGCTTCTAATTGACTTCGGACGACGAGACGAGGATTTACCGAGGGGGCGACACGCTTTGAGCGCACATAGATCCACGTTGATTTTCGAACAAAGCGACTCGATTGAAATTCGACGCTAGAGTCGAACGAAAGGACCGGCGTTGATTGCGCACGAAGCGCGGAGAAATCGAGTTGGCCCGTAAGCTGGTCCAGTTGATTGACGGATCCGTTAAAATCGGCACCTCCAATCAGCAACATCACAATTCGACCGTGAAAAATGTAGATCCGCGAGTAGTTTGACCGGTGCGACGAGAGGGGCAGAAAAACAAAATGGAATATCGCGAGAGGAGAAGCTGAAAAATTACAAGTGTACAGAGTGAGAGAGAGAGAGGAAGCGTGGAAATATTTAATCTCGGAGACAGATTTCTCGTGTAAGTGACGCGATAAGATTTTACTTATCATACGGCTCTTATTTATCTAGACATGCCCCTTTGCTCGGAGTTTTAGCTTGGTTAAAGCACAAAAATGCTGTCGTTTATGTGACGTGCCCTCCCTTGTTTGCCTCGCGCGAGAACGATACCTGCTGTGATTCCACCGCAAAACTCATCCCCGCGTTTCTAAGCGCACACCCATAACTCCATTGAAAATCCGCTAAATAGCCCCCCCCCCCCCTCGGCCCGCAAGAAAAAAGCTAGTAATTGCACGCGAACAATGGCTCATTCACTTTCCCCCATAGTCACATGTGTACCTGCAAAGCGATCGTTTAGCTTGACAAGCGGTAATTTCCCAGGCTTGTCCGTCACCCAATTGCTCGCGCGGCGCCGGACATCGACCCTCGTCCCACCAGTCATTATCGCGTCAAACGCATCGGCGGAAGCTGCCGCTGGCGCACGGCGAATTCCTGTCCGCGGCGCACGTACGAAACTTTCGGCTGATTGTCATTCGACGGGAGGCGCGCGCCCGTAATTCGACTCGCTTGTTTCGTCTACGCGCCGCGGTACGGCGCGCGCATGTGACACATCCGCGCCGCCGCGTCGGCGCTTGGTAATCCGTGCGCGATTGACTCGCTCCCTCCCTCTCTCTCTCTCTCTCTCTCTGTTTCACACCAACGCCGAGAAACGAGAGACTGGGATGCGTCGTTCTCTTGCGAACAACGTCAGTACTGACATCCCACTGGTAAGATCATTTCGGGCGACAGGTGTTTCCGTCGACAGGTACGGAAGAGAGGGTCGCGCGACGTAAAAACACGCTCGAGATTTCGTCTGAGCGCGAAAAAGAGAAGCGTACGACTTCCCGCGACTACTGTGCGAGATATCGAGTGTCGGTGTCGAATTCGCCGAACTGCTGCCGGCAAAAAGCTCCGGAGTTAACCGAACGCGCCGAGCTCGCAGGTGTTGCGTCGTGATTGAAATAACTTTGCGAAATACACGCCAGGGGCGCGCTCTCCTTTTCATGTTGTCGCGAGTAATCGGACGAACCGACGATTTAGCGACTCCCACGTGCGAAATGCAAATCAGCAGCCGTCGACGACATTCTTCGCGGAAAGGAAAGATTCGCGCTAACTCCGGAGGCATTTCCACGAAAATGCGCGCGCGAGAGTCCAAGGAATAAAGAGAAGTCTTACCGCAGCTGCCTGGCTATATTTGTCCCGTCTCGCGCGGAAGAGAGACGCGCGTGCGTAAAAAAAAAAGGAAGAGGAAGAAAGAAAGAACGAAAGAAAGAAGCGGAGACGGGAAGGCGGGTCGAATCCACTGGTCGTCGCGCGCGGCTGATTGACTGATTGATCGGCATCGAGGGGCGTTAATTAGCCTTGCATTGACGTTGTAATTTTATCCGCTCAGAATCCTGATGTCTTTCATGACTACGCAGCTGCTGTCCTCGTGAGATTGGGAAAAAACGTGGTCGTAATCTTTGCTCATTTGAGCGAGACGCACCGATTGAGCCTCATTTGCAAGTCACTGCAGCGGTCGATTCGTAAATAAATTTGCTTTGCCGCGATTAACATCCAAATTCAGCATTGTATTCGTTACAACTTTATACTGGAAATCGTCGAATAAACATTTCGCATGGCACACCAAAACTAAATCAACGACTAGAATGAACGCGAATGTTTGCTAATAAATAAGCAGATAGCCGCAGGGGTATGTGTATGATCGTAGAGAGGGGGGGAGGGGCTCCATCGCGCGTCTAAAATTCCAAAACGTCTCCCGCGCGCACGAGTGTCGGCGTCTGCGAGAAAAAGGCCAGCAAAGCGCCTTGGTTACGCGCGATAACGAGATGCGGTGCCGGCGACGAGCACAAGGGGACGACGAAACTCGGTTCGCTTACGAGAGGCTTGCCTACTAAGGGGTTGGCGGTCGTCGACCTATTGAACCAAAGCGCTCGCTTTTCGTGACCACTTTACGATTGCACTGCTGCCGCTGCGCTCGGACGTTAAAACCGCGCGACGGATTAATGGTTCGCGCGAGTTTTACGGTGTTTGCGATGAAAATCCGCTGTAGGTTTCGCGTATTCTTGGCGAGGCGCTGAAAACGCGCGATGAGATTAATGAGAGAAAGCGTCAAACTTTACTTGAAAATTTGACGTAAAACGTGACTGACGCGGGTATCCAGGTCGTTTCTCACATTTGACTGTTGAAAAAAATTTCTTTTTTTTTCGACGTTGCACAGCTCATTGTACTCGTGAAAACGTGGAATCACGATCTCCAGCAGCGGCAGAGTTCAATGAACCCAAACATCGCGATCGGCACAGGTTGTGTGTGAAAGAAGATTCCCGAGGGGGCGGTGGTTTCCGATTTGCTGCCGAGGCTGATTTATATCGGATGATCGGTCGTCCTTTTTCTTCTTGTTCACCGATCGCTATTCTCCGATAGTTTTTTGTGCCGCTCGAGAATTCACGTACAAATTCATTTGAGATTTTAGGCGTGCGGAATGACGAGCAAACGCAATTTTCTCAATTTACGGAGAAAAATAACGTTTTATAGGTGTGCGTGTGTGCGTGTGTCTGTAGGTGTATTAAAACGAGGATTATCATCGATCCTTATTCTACCTTAATTACAAGTTGTATGGAGTATTCTCTTTGTGTAACCTATGTTGAAAGTCATTACTACAGTATAGTGTTGGTATCTTGTATACGAACGGATTGTTCTTCAGGAGCAATATACTTCAAGGATATGTTTCGTAAAATGTTACAATGACGACAATAAATTCATGTAGATGCATGGTTACAGTTTTGCATACGTCGAGAGGGAAAAAGAACATGCAAATTCTATTATTTCACTGGCATCGCCACTAACATCTAACTGATTGACAAGTTCAATGAACAGTTTACATCACAAATGAGTCACGTTTCTCCTTTTTTTCTCTTTCTCATAAAATATGCGCGTGTCAACGCACTTAAGCGTCTATTTTATAACTATGCAAAGTAGGAAACATTTTCTGTGTGTATAGTAAGATTAATGCACGGAATGCATTTTTCCGATTTCACAATTAGCACCGCGGAGGCTTGTTTCGCCAACTTTCATTTTGATTTCACCTAAAAAAATAAGAAAGAGAGCCAAACGATCTCGCGTATTTCATCTGAATAATTTTCGAGCATCCGTCAAACAAAAGAGATATGTCCAACTTTCTCGCAGTACACACTGACCATCCACTTCCCACGCGTTAATTGCAATCCGTGTGTTAGATTCGTACGCTGCGAGGCACGTTTGCTTGTTCGCGCGAGCGCGCCTTCGCCGTTTCAAGTCCTATTTATTGGCTAATTGCCGTGGCCGTACTGGCCCTCGTGTGTGGTCATTTCCCACGACGACGTAAGTCAAGTCCACACCTTGCTACACGACTCTCGCGCCGCGGAGAGGAGGATGCACGTGCTCGCCAGGCTACGCACGTCGCGGCATCATGATTAATCGGCAATTCGTTTGCCGAGAAATGTCGCACCGAGAGCACGTGTTGACGATGCTTTTGTATTTGTGTCAATTGACCAAATTACTATTAAGATAAGTTCGAGTTCCAGCATACTCTCAGCAAATTCCTTTGCAAAATTCATAGATTTCCTTTTTTTGGAAATCGGCAAATTTTCATCTTACCTTCAAAAAGTTATGAATCTAATCGAAGTATATTAAAAATTGCCAAATTGAACTGCAAGACGAGTCTAACTATTATAAAATGAGTGAATAAAATTAATTCGTTTATGTTTGTACTCAAAATAATGATAAAATACTTGTTAAAAATAAGAGTAAACCAGATTATAAACCATCAATATTTACTGTATTTGATTCAATTTAAAATTAAACATATGATATTGCGATCATACCACAACATATGTAATTAGAACGACATATATAACAAATTCTATTTAGTTCTGTAACTAATACGATTAAATAATTACATTTTTTAAGTAAATTTATATAAATATAAAAATATAAATTATCCAAAACTCAGAGCATATGAAATTATTACGAACGAATTATTGTACATGCAGAATATATTCATCGCCATTCAATTTTATAAAACTCAGTACTCCAAAAAGAAAAGTTGGAACGACTAAGATTCGAGTAAGACGCATGGTATTGGTAAATAAACGACTCTTAATGAATTTTCAAAGTTAAAGTAATGATACTGATACTGTGATCAAGAGTTGTGGCATGGAACCTGTGGCATTAAGATTACCTGAAAATTATTCATATATAATTGGAATGTGTGCAAGATCGAATGCAAAGTCTACGCTTCTATTTTCAAATGCATCTTTTTTTCTTCATTAACGTCAGTTCACATGCCTCCAAAACGTTTAATACGACCAAAGACTATGATTTTCTGACTGGATCGATAAAAATATAAGCCCAGCATATGCAAATGCATCGAAAACATTCAGATTTACATCGTAACGAGGAAGAAAAGTTACCGCTCAACACACGCAAATATGTACTCGGGACAAAGAGATCCACAGACGACACGGCATTCGATTTTTTATTTTTCAAAGTTTGCTCAATGTGAATAACGTGATAATTGCGTCAACGAGCTTCTCCTCGTTATCGCGTATCCTTTTTCGTTGCGAAAATACAAGAAAGTAGCCACTCGGCGTGGCAGGATGAACGACGAACGTCTGTGATGATTCCGAGCGCATTAACGAGCTAATTAATTCGCTTCTGAAAGAGCGAGCTTCGGATAATTTGCGATCGATCGTCTTTTCTGAGAATAAAAATCAGCCGACAAGTTGCACGCCAACGACTACCGTCATCTTTTCCCTTTTCTCATCCTTTGTCCGAAACAAAGCGACACTTCTCTCTTGGTCGCCATTGAAATTCAGCGCGAACGGACAGCTCGAAAAACAGTTCACCCGTTCACCAATGAAAAACGATCGCACGTCGTATTTTCCGACGGACCGTACGGAATGCACACGCATGTAGCGCGCACGCGTACAGCGAGTGGCGGCAGCAGGTCTTTATTCAAGAGCAACACTCGACTCGTGTATGTATATCGTACGCCGCGCAACTTAAAATTCTCTCTGGGGCTTCCTCCCGAAACCCGCCGCCGCGTCGTGCGAAGGATCCGTTCCCCGTGTACAAGCACATGCACACACGCGCGGACAAAAAGAGACGCGCGCGTGCGTGTCCTATTTGTTTTATGCATTTTAGACGTGCGCGAAGAAAAAGTGAGCCTTAATATTGGTACGTCGGTGCGCGCCTCGTCATCGATCGCCGGGGCACTCAACTGGACAATGTATTTTTCACGTTCGTAATACAAAAATGCCAGAGTCGAGTCAATGACGTATATGGCTATGATTTATTATAGAGCCACACATGAACTTAGAGAGGAAGACAGAGGTGGGTCTCGTGCGCGAAACGTTGGATTGATTGAAGGGTTTCGGGGCTGACAATGAGTTTTTAGGTATGTCGCTGTGGGTGGCTTGTCAGTCATATCGGCTATTCTCGACCTACTCGTGTCTCAGTGATAATTAATAGTTGGACGCTTGATTTTTCATTGTTAAGCTTATCTCATTATTGAGTTTTAAACTCGAGCCAAGATACGATAAAGGGTAAAAACAAAGTTCTTCTATTAGGGTCAGATAAAGAAACGACAATAAGCGCGCTCGCCTACTTTACATGTGAAGTAACCGAGCAATTAACCCGAATAATCGCGCAAAATTAACCGAGCATGCGCGATAATATTTAATAATGCCGTTGCTCAAGCGCGGCGCGCGCATGTCAAAACTACACGCTAGAGTGAGGATAAGCGTCGCCAGCACGCGCGATACATAACTCAGGCGCCTACGCACAGCGCGCCTGGAAGATACGGAAAGCGCGAGCTCTAAATGGCTCGTTCGTCGCATCGCGAGAGCGCCACTTTTTTCGCGACGTGATTTCATTGAGAGGTATACGCGGACCGTGGCAGCTTTCGGCCGCGATCGTAACTCATTCTAAGCGTCGCCCTGCAAAACCGAGTCTGCGCGCGAAAGGTGAGAGAGGGGGGGCGGGCGCATGCTCGATCTGACGTGATTAATGGAACGACCGCGCGCGCGCGCGCGCTCTATTCATCAGTGTGCGTTGCGCATTCGGCATTACTTGTTCCCGCGGATGGACAGTTATTTTCAACGCCGCTGGCTCCCGAGGAGGCTTATCAATTCGCAGCCGCTACCAGCTGAACTCGCCGTTTCTTGCCCGCGTTGCCGCCATTCGAGTTTCGTATGTTTGCCAGCCGAGGCGATCGTCCCCCAACGCCGAAATCACATGGCAAGCCTCGAGCGGATAGACAAAAGTTTTGAAATCGTAGCTTGCTGCGTAAAGAAGCGACAGTGACCTCGAGGCGAGACGCAGCTGTGCATCACGACACTCGTCGCGGTCGAAAAAGCACTCGACGCGACACACTTGTTCCCATCAACAGTGTTGCTGCTATTTTGGGATACGCGCAGCGTGGTGTCGATGGCAGCTTATAGGGCAGCCCTCAAGGAAACAATGCGCAGCTTGGAAATTCGATTTTTCCCGGCGCGGCGGCGACGGCACGGTCGGCTCATGAATCTCGAGGTGGAATGCGCCACGAGGAAGGAAATTTTAACGCGCACCGGCGAGCTACAGCCTTTGTAGTATATTACAACCACACGCCGACACCAAGTTACGCATATTACAAGTTCCTTTTAGTGCGCGCTCCTTCGCGAAGGAGAAGCCAACGGTGCTTTAATTTGAAACTGGGCGCGAGCGTGCAATTTTCCTCGAAATTTCACTGCTCAATTTATGCAAAGAGGGGATGATTGAACGACGGAATCATTAGCGGGAGGAGAAAATTATTGAATCAATTAATCGCAATTTATCAAGGCAGCTTATTCATTATCGCTTGATTTATTTAGTATTCCGCTGAGCATGCATCATTTAATTTTATCTCACGCGCAACCGCTGCTACTTTACCGATTAATGATATCACATCGCTCTCTCTCTCTCTCTCTCTCTCTCTCTTTCTCCCTCGCATAAACAATTTTTATTTGCATCTTATTCAGTCGATCTCCATTCCTTTTGCTTTTCTGTAGTCGCTCTATATCAATTTCCCATCATCGATCGCGGTGCATCTAAGTATTTTTTTTTTTTGCGCGAGATCGAGTCTCCGCATGTACGATGGAATGCTCGTACTCACCCGCGCAAGTTATGGATATTTTGCAATGGTACGTATGGTAACACTCACCTACAACAAGCAACAGGAAACATGCATTAGAGTGGCAATCGGCATTAGCGTAACGGAAGAAATGAAAATAAATAAGCGGAGTCGATCTGCGATCCAGCGAGCGCACTCAATATTATAATTTCGAACGAACAACTACTAATCGCGCCGTTCACAGATAAATGAATCTATTCGCAAGCCGTTCCAATTAAGCGACACACGACATGAAGCACTTACAACTTGACCTTTCGAGCCTGCCGAGCTCGTCGCAGCGCCTTAGCGACGAAAGCTGGTCAGCGCGCGATTGCAGGCGTGCCAGTGGCAATCGCTCGCGCTGAATGGCAGGCGGCGCGAACGGCCTGCTCGCGCTGTAGGTGTACGCCCGCGGAAGTGGCCGAGCGTTTGGATGCGGCAGGGAGGAGCGATGGCCCAAATCGTCCGATTTTTGGCCTCGAGCCTCGGGCTCGCCGAATCTATTAATACGAGCAGAGCGAGCCTTCGTCTCGGACGTAGAGCTGCCGCGCACGCGAACCGCACGTTTCACGCGGCTCTCCCCGCGATTGTAAGTGCGGCGCATGCTAATGTGCGACAAGTTTGACATTATCGTTGCGCTTCGGCTGATGGCTAATTGCTTTTTGTGCCGAACGCTTCTCCATCTATTATTCTTTGACGCTGTTGGGGTGTGCCAGAGTTATCGGTCATTGTTAGGCATTTCGATTGATCTCCCACGAAAGTATCGTTATTCGTCGTTTCTTGCGCACCTCAAAATTAACTCTTCCATCTGATTAGAATAGACTACTATGAACATTTCTCATGATTTTAGGTAAGACAGATATCAGCTAAACTGTCGTTACTAGTAATTTTTCACTAACAACGATTGCAATCCTAATTCACACAATTCTATACTGCTTCCATGAACATTTTTAACTTACGTTCAATATGTCATCTATTCGCGAACGCATAAAGCTACAGAAACGCACGTGACGTATATATACAGCAGCTTTTTTTCATCGGTACTTTCAAGCTCAAAAACGAACACATGAAAATATTATAAACGACTGTCGTGCAAAGGTACGATGAAGTATCTGGTTGCATTCCAATCAAATGAAAAAATACAGGCTGGCATCAGTATTCTACGGCCATACTTTCACGGACTCTGTGTGCTTTACTTCAGCTCAAAAGATCCTTGCAATTTATCGTTTGATTAGCTTCCTTTGAGATAGAGACTTCGAAACTAGCCTATGAGACTTGTTTAGCAGAAAAAAAAATCGTGTCTTATTATTCATTCGTTATTACATCTGTGCAATCAATTACCGTAACACCATTGAGCCGAAGCTTTTAACAAGATAAGTCTCTTCTTTCCATTGTGTGCAAAACTGATGCATATGCAATTAAGAAAAATGCTCGCTGTGATTGAAGAATTGTCAAAGCGTACTACACTCACCGCGCCAGAGAACGTCTCCGTCGTCATCGGCAAAAGCTCGCAACGCGCGCGCGTAAAACAAGGAGCAATAGAATGGGCCTGGTATGGCGTCGCTTTATTTCGAGACCGATGAGTCAAGCCTTTGTAACGTCGCTGTTGTCCCGAAAACGGGCTTTTGATTCGCAATACACCAGCAGCGCTCCCCTGCACAACAATTTTCCCCTGACCTACTGACAAATAAAAATAAAAAATAAAAAAAAAAAAAAAAATAACAAACAAAACGAGCGTGAAAGAGACGAACCTGTTCCGAATGCAATTTATTGAGGTGTTTTGCGCAGCGAGTTAATAACCGGCTAGGCTTTATGCAAAGAGATTAACTTTTGTTTGTTTCCAATGTTTTTAGGCGAATTCCAGACTTAATTAGCAATATCTCGAAAGCGCGCCCGTTATTCCCGAGAGTGTCTTGAGAGAGAAGCTTCTCTAAGGCATAAACTATTTTTGAACGAGATTCAACGAACCAATGAATGAACGCACGTAAAATAAGATCAAAGCACCTTTTTGGCTACCGAACAAAGTTCAACGAGCGAGCAGCAGTCGCTCCACTGTGAGTCTGCGGTAATAAAAATCGACACTGCATGTGTGATCTTTTTACGAACTCGACAACATTTTTTTATTGGCATTCAAGCTCATTTCCGTTAGTGTAATTGCAGGCTCGAGCCTAGTCTTTTTCTTTTTCATAAATAATTGTCTTTAGGCTCACGTGCGAGCATATTCGTCTCTAAGTATCTCGTGCATCTGCCTTTTTTATAAATCACCTTTTAAAGGCATAGGCTATGAAAAGTGCAGTATACGACCGTAAAGATTATGATTTACGCTAGACATTGAACCGGTACATTAATTTTTTTTTTACCGACAAGTCTATAATTTTCAAAGTACGTAACAACCAACGAAAAAATACGACGACCGTGTGTCGTTCGTTCGATAACTCAATTAATTAAATTAAAAATATTTCTTTATTGGCCTTGAAGACTCATTTATAAAATGTCTAGCCAGCGTGAAATTGAAAAACGCAAAATCTCATCACGCTATAGAGCCGCAAATCAACCGCAAACGCTAATAATAAACTTTAGCAAAAGCCGACGCGACATTCCACGCTCGTCACAACAAAACAACAACAAAAAAAGTGAGGAAGCGTGCGAGCGCGAGAGAAAAAAAATAAAAAGCCACACTAACGAGAGTGCGACACCTTAGCGATCGTAAAAAAGCCGGCACAGTGGGAGTCTTTCGCGTGTGCGTGCGTGCTGTGCGACAGCTGTGGGCCGAGAACAAAAAAAAACAAGGAGAAGAAGAACAGAAGTATTGAGAAAAGCATATATACAAGTATCGGGGCGCTGGGTGATTATTTGGATGTTCCTATAAAAGCGCACGCGTAACGCATACTTATTTTGATAGGAACGCTCGGCGCGTGGCGAATGGATGCGCTGTTCAAGTTTTTTGATGTGTCTGTTTTTATGGCACTTGGAAATCGTGGATTTTCCATAATGGCGAACACGATATTGCGTCGCAAAAGCATCGACGAAAAATTTATTGCGTCCACGCTTTTATGTTTATTGAGTGCGCGCAAACTAACGCTTAATTAAAGCTCGATAGAATCAAGAATACGAAGCTCCGACCGAATGTAATCTAATTCTAATTTTTTGTTCTCCTGTCGAGCGTCGCTAATCATCACAGTCGTCCCGTTCGCCGAATATTACGGCCAAGCCAGCACAAATCTCACGACGACGACGAACAGAGACTGCTTCGAAAAAAACATGCAGCTCCTCTCTGGCCCGATGGTCGCCAGGCAACAGCGGCATAGCAATGTAGAGAGAGAGAGAGAGAGAGAGAGAGAGAGAGAGAGAGAGAGAGAGAGCGGAAGGGCACCAGCGGAATGGAAAAGGACGAAGACGTTCGAGTCGCCATGGGCGGTTCAACAACCTACGTTGAGCCGTCACGACCATAATATCGCCTAGCTTTCGCACAGCCAGACACGATCTTGTACGTTACACCGTTGAATATCGTCTAATTCCCGCGCGCATATTTTCGTTTTGCTGATTTGGGTCGACTTCGTGTTTTAGCTGGGCGCTTAATACGTTGTTTGCTCACGGCAAATCGATCACGGCTCGTTTTTCCGCGATGACTACGTCGTCAGAGAGACGATCGCCGCGCGATACCGCTCATCAGCGGAAACGAGCTTGTTGCATGTGAGCTATCATTTGGACACTCCTCCTCGCTCTTACCTGTCGCGCCGACCAGCGTGAAAATTGGCATTTTCAACGGCAAATTAAATCGCAGCTTTTTCAATAACAAAATCGTCGAGTAATGTAGTTCCGTTCTCGTCGTTACGTCAGAAGGCCTATCGCGCAACAAAAATCGCAGCGAGACAATCATTAATAAGTCGATTACGTGGCAAATTGACGATTTCCCGGGGAAACATGTATCTCGCGAGGCACGTGTTATAAATAACGTTAGCCGCACTTCGCTCTTATCAAATTGCACTCTAAAGCCGAGCTCGCTATCGTCAATACCTACGCGCGCGTCTTGCATTGCCGAACGCGCGGGTACACACTGATTTATGCCCGATGCATTAGCTCCTCTCGTTGAGATGCATTAACGACGAATTTTTGAGTCATTGTTGTGTGATGAATGGCAACCAGACGCTCATTTCTTATTGATTTGCAGACGAGTTGCCGATTTTTTTCTTACCTGCCGAGATGATTTATGAAGCCGAGAGTGCTTAAGTGGATTATACGAGCTGCATTTTGATTGGCTTTTCAAATAATCTCAATTGTGCGCGCATGTAAGTGGTTGGAAAATGTGGGTGCGTTATCGTTTGTTCTTACGACATGTTATCGGCACGTCGTAAGGAAATTCCTCTACCTACAAAAGAAGAAAAATGCAGCATGTAACACTTGACACCTTCGATGAGAGCTGGCATGAGAGAGAGAGAGAGAGAGAGAGAGAGAAAGAAGAAAGAACACAAAGAGCGTCCAGCCATCCAGAAGCTCTTTGTCGCCTCTTTGAACACCGCACACTCGTCTGTATCGAGTGTCTCGCTTTCTTTCCCAGTCCGATTATTTCATCCATGCGCACGGCAGATCGTCCGGACGATGACGGTTCGTTCGGGGTGCATCGACTGTGCGACATCTTTCGTAATCCGTCGCAAATCCATACAGTTGGACCGACGGCGGTTCATATGCAATCGTTGCAGATTTTTGGCTGTATATAGGCGTGCGTGAGTTTCCGGCGTGGCGTAAGCTGGTAACATTCCCAATTCCGAGCGCAAAGACGAACGTCAGGTGCCCTTGATAGACGTGGATGAAGCTGCAAAAGCGCATTTTCTCAAAGTCTGACGCGCGTTTCATTTCAATATTAATGTAGGTGGTCGTTGCACGCGCGCAGGAACAAAAGAAAAAGAAAAGGCCGATCCATTATAAAGATGCAAATCCAGCGGCGGCGAGGTTCATTTCCGTAGAAACCTATTTCGACACGCACACCATTAGGCTTGCAAATTGCCAAGGTGCCGCGAACGATTTTTCATGTACAACTTGGTATATTTTGTAATGCTCTCTCACACTAAATTCAAATTTCGTAAGTGCGTTATTTATGCATTATGAATTCGCTTTTCCTCGCCGAGTTTTGTATTTGACCAACTTGTTATTAGCATGAAAATTTTAATAGAAACCTCTCAACATAAGGCACTTTATTACTCGAGTTTATATGCGCGCATAGGAAAGTTATAAATTGCCCGTACTTATGGCGCGTGTGAGTGAGACATAGTTGAGTTATGCTTCCTTTCAAGAAATGCCGACAGTATATTGGCACTGTGAAGTGCCATTGTAAAATTACAACTGAATTATTGTCAATTCTCAAGGTTCTTCTTCGGAACTGCCAGTGTCGATGAGAATTTTAA